ATGGATGTATGGATGTATGGATGTATGGTTGTATGGAAGTGTGGATGTATATGTATGTGTATGTATGTATATGTATACATTTCTGTGTATAGGTATGTATACGTATGTATATGTATTGATATGTATTGATATGTATAATTGTGTATGTATATGTATGTACATGTATGTGTATATGTGTGTATGTACGTGTATGTGCGTATATGTACGTATATGTGTGTGTATGTGTATGTAAATGTACGTATATGTACGTATATGTATGTATATGTACGTATATGTACGTATATGTACGATATGTATGTATATGTACGTACATGTATGTGTATGTATGTATCTGTATGTGTATGTGTATGTGTGTGTATGTATGTATGTATGTATGTCTGTGTGTATGTATGTATGTATGTATGTATGTATGTATGTATGTATGTATGTATGTATGTATGTATGTATGTATGTATGTATGTATGTATGTATGGGTGTATGGGTGTATGTATGTATGTATGTATGTATGTATGTATGTATGTATGTATGTATGTATGTATGTATGTATGTATGTATGTATGTATGTATGTATGTATGTATGTATGTATGTATGTATGTATGTATGTATGTATGTATGTATGTATGTATGTATGTATGTATGTATGTATGTATGTATGTATGTATGTATGTATGTATGTATGTATGTATGTATGTATGTATGTATGTATGTATGTATGTATGTATGTATGTATGTATGTATGTATGTATGTATGTATGTATGTATGTATGTATGTATGTATGTATGTATGTATGTATGTATGGGTGTATGTATGTATGTATGTATGTATGTATGTATGTATGTATGTATGTATGTATGTATGTATGTATGTATGTGTGTATGTATGTATGTATGTATGTATGTATGTATGTATGTAGGTAGGTAGGTAGGTAGGTATGTATGTATTCGTGTGTGTATGTATATATGTATGTATGTATGTATGTATGTATGTATGTATGTATGCATGCATGTATGTATGTATGTATGTATGTATGTGTGTGTGTACGTACGTGTATGTGTATGTATATGTGTACGTGTATGTGTGTGTGTGTATGCGTATGTGTATGTGTGTGTGTATGTATGTGTGTATACACTGTGCATGTGTAGGGTGTGTGTGTGTGTGCGTTTGTATTTGTATATGCATATGCATATGTATGTGTATGTGTATATGTATATGTACATTGATGTGTATGTGTGGTCCTTGTAGAAGTGTGTGAAGCACGTGACGGTTCTGATCAAGACAGGCGCTCGAATGAACACATAGACCAAGTGAACAACCATCATGAAGCAGGACAATTAGTGGATCTTTCCATAACATGGCAGCGTGAGGGTTTGCAGTGGTTTGGCGGTTGAGGGACACCTTCTCATTTACCCTCTACAAACAGCAAGGGCGCAACTCCCACCGATCCAAACCACCAAAGTGACACCCTTCCGGCGCCCCTTCCTTTCAAAAAAAAAGAAAGGGCCACCTCCCCAAAGGCCCCGCCATGTCTTCAAACCCCGGGGTTACCGGGGAGCACCAGCCCGGCACAAAAGCCAGCCCCCCGTGCCTCCGCTCGGGTCCACGGCAGCTCGCGGGTCAAGGCGATTCCCAGGAGGCCCAAGGTGCTCATGACGCCTCCGAGGTGAGTTTTAAGGACGCTCTGGGGAGGACAAAAGGGGAGAAAAAACCGCCCGAAAATGGAGGCCCCCTTCCAGTATTGCAAGGAGGGAAATACTGCCGGCAGATGGAGATGCCCCTATTTCAACTCAATTTTTTGGGGTGTTCCTCTGGCGTCTTGAAAGGAACGCCAAGATCAGGATGCTCAAACAATGGGTCCCAAATGTTGCTGGAGTTCTGCAAAGGTTGCTGCAAAAGATTAGAAGGGTACAGCTGGAGAAAGGTCCGAAGATTAATTTGACCAAAGGCCAACCTTGATCCTGCGACCTGTGAGATTGTTGGGAGGATTCTGCATGCCTCTCGTGTGACCTGGGCAACTCTGCTCTGGATCAGCAGCCAAGACTTGAAAGAGGAACATCACAGCACAAAGCAGGGCTCTAAAGGTCAGAGCGTCTCGCGAAGCGCGCTGAGATCAGGATATCAGGATGTCAGGATGTCAGGATGTCAGGAACCGTCCAGCAAACCGAGCAAACATCTGACACGCCTTGCTGTCAAGAGCTTTGATGAAGATGACACACAGCGCGGACACACGGAAAGCCCCCTGAAGGGCTCTTTGCTGGGAACAGTCGCTGATCCGAGAGGGTCGCGCTTCTCAAATAGATTCGATTCCTCTTGTACATCTTCCGGGACATGGATGGCGGCTGCGAAAATCGCTGGCAACTAAACAAATAAAGCTCCACACCGGACTGCGTACACAGCTCTATCACCGCATCCGCATCCATCTGCAGCTCACCTGTGTCCTTTGCTCTTTTCGGGTCAAATGATTCAGCCAGCTGTTCCGCCAGCTGGGTTCGCAAAAAAGGAACACCCCCACGTGAGTTCACTGCACCTAGGTCCTCCGCTAGAGAGGCTAGAATAAGATTACCCTTTTTCTGTAGTCTATTTTAGTAGGGGAACTCTCCTCAAAAAAAGGGAAAAGGGCACTTCAGAGACGCCAAGCCCATGTCTTCGCATCCCCACTCCAAACACCCCAAGCCCCCCAAACTCACCTTCCCTCCAATTAATGGTTTGGGATTGGTGTATTTACCTACAAACAGCAAGGGTTCAAACTTCCACAAAAAACAACACCAAAGGGTAACCTGGCTTAAACCCCTAAAGAAAAACAAGAAAAACACGCGCAACCACCATGTCTTCGCATCCCCCACCCTCCAAACCCAATCTCCCCCCCCCCCCCCGGCGCGGCCTGCGATCATGGTCACCTTGGTCGGCCCCAAAGTGTCCACCAACCAGCCGTTCACGAAGGCGGTGAGGGACCTCAAGAAGTACCGTGAATCGGACGTCGTACGGAAACGCTGCGGACTTCGGGGCGCGCCGGAGAAAAACCGAGGAAAATCGACCAATCGTTCACTCAATCAAGCAACCAACCTATCAACCAACCTACCTATCAACCAACCTACATTCCAACCATCAACCTACCTACCCATCCACCCACCGACCTACCAACCTACGTCCATCGCTTTTTTTTGTGACTCTGCAGCCAAGAGACACGAAGGTGGAGGCCATGGTGAAGGCGTTGTTCAGCGCCTGCAGCTGGGCCTCGCAGGGATGGTTCGGGTCCGGCTTCTCGCAAAGGAAGTCGAAGTACCCCTCCTGACAAGCTGACGAGCTGAACCTGGGAGTTATTACAAGCTGACGAGCTGAAACCCAAAAGGAAACCGGAGCCGATTTTGAGACAAACCCATCAAGTGCCCGAAAAAAGGTGCTGGGGTTCTGGGGTTTATGAAAGTCAGAAAATGGTTGGTTCTTTCCCTTTAACCCAGCACTTAGGGGGTGACTTTGATCATGGCAAAATAATGAAGCCAGTACAAGGAGGAGGTCCTCGTCTTCATAAACTTCGGGTGGCTGGAGTAGTCGTCCAAAAATGCGGGTGGGTGGCTTAGTCTTCCAAAAATGCGGGTGGGTGGTTTAGCCTTCCAAAAAATATTGTGGGTGGTTTGGTCTTCCAAACAATTTGAGTGCCTAGTTTGATCCTTCCAAAATTGGATAATAGGTGTAGCCTTCCAGAGGGTGGGTTGCTTTAGCCTTCCAAAAATCCAGGCGTTGGCTTGGCCTTCCAAAAATCGGGTTCGGGTGTTTAGCTTCCTAAGATCGTGTGGTTGGTCTCTACTGCCAGCGTCTTGCGCACATGTGAAAGAACCGCACTTCGTCAACCGCGCTTTGGTCTAAGCACACGGAAATTCATGGGGGCTATACACCCAAACAGCTTCAGTTGCATGCTAAAGACCTGCTGCCCATGGAGCCAATTTGTTAAGGTAAGGTTCGGCCCATCGTTGCGTAGGCTTACTGGCTTGCCCAAGCATCCCACAACAAGCCTTTGCGTGCCTTGGGTTTCTGAGGGGGTTGCTGCTCTATAAGTCCCTCGTGTCCTCATGTCCCTGCCATGTGTTGGCATAGAATGCTGCAAATTCACAGACCGCCTGGTCAGGTAAAGAAGCAAGGAAAGAAACTTCAGAGACTTGGTTATGGATTCTGTGGCTGGCTGGCTGGAAGCATAGCAGCGTAGACTCGGGTCTCAGAAAGATTGCTGGCTTGAACAAATGCCGACTGAAATGACTGCGGTCCGAGCCATGGATGTTTTGTTTCGCACAGGCCCAAACAAGAAACCGGTCCGGGCGCCATGTGGCCATGGGTCAAAATCCAAATCGTACCCCCAGCGAACATCCCAATTCTCGGCGAACATCCCAATCCCCATTAAAATGGGTTCTAAAATGGAGTGGTGCACCTACCCCAAAATGGGATCCCATTGGTCTTGACCCACAGCCATGTCTTTTTTTGACCCCGGAAAAGGCGTGGCCCATCGGCTGGCGTTGCCCATCGGGGACTCCTGCTGCAGCATGGAGCTAAAGGCACCCCAGCCGAAGACCGTGCCCGAGAAGAGGAAGACCGTGGTGAGGCTCATCACCACCATAAACTTGTGGGCCCTCTCCCGGCCCGCCATGGCTGCGTGCGGCCGAGCTGGCTTGGGAGGCCCGATGGGAAGAACTCCGGAAGCAACGGGTGGCCGGAAATTCGAAACGTGCGAGGCTGAGGCTTGCACAGCTGAATCCTGGGTTCTGTGCCGGAAGATATTGCCTTGAACCAAACAGATCCAGAGATGCAGCTGCAGCCAGGACCCTGCAACCCCCCTAAGGCCTGCTGGAATTCCCGCGCCTCGGGCTCTGGCGACATTGCAAGTCAAACGGCAAATGACCAAAGCCGAAACTGGGGGGGGGTCCCCCCAACTGCCTTTTTGGACCTCACTTCGGGGCCCAAAACCGCCTTGCCCCGCCCCGCCACCGGGGCCACTGGGGCCGTCGTCCGCGCCTTTCAGCACCGCGGCGATGGCCTGCGCCCCACTTACCGAGGCGTCGTGACCGGTCGAAACCGGGGGAGTTGAGCCGCTTTCGCTGCAGAAACCGATGTGGTGCACAAAGGGGCGAGCCAAACCAGGACCGGCAAGATTATTTTTGTTGAGCCTCATGAGGGCTAAACCAGGAGCGCCAGTGAACTCCGTTTTGAAGTTCTCACATCTCGTTCCCAAAAGGGTGTTTGTGCTTTTTGAGGGCAGCCTTTCTGAGGCTGTAAAACCAACCCCGTTTGGATTGCCCCAAAATTTCGAGAAGTTCCGCCATCCCCCACCGCCCGCCGGGTTGGATTGCGGCGTGCCCACCAGCAACAGGTTTTCGCCTCACCGTGCCGACGCCTCGACACGAAAGAAAATGGCCACTCGACTCTTGGACCTACACTTTACAACCCTTGGTCCGGTTGCACAAAATTTTAGCTCTTTTTTGCAATGAACAGAACCCAGAAAACACAAAAACACATAAACAACCACTTGCCAACCAGAACCACAAACCCCGACTCTTGCCACCCTCTCCCTTAAACAAAATCCAAACGGCCACAAACCTCGAGCGCCCGGCACGCTTCCGGCGCCCGCAGGTGGCCCTCGACGCCCACGTCCTCGAGGCGCAGCAGAACCAGAGACCCGTGGCCCGTCATCAGCAGCAGGTTGGCCACGTACTGCAGCGCGGCCTCGCCCTCCTTCCGGCCGTTCGCTTCAGGGCCCTCCCGAAAGAAGAAGAAAAAAAAAGGGGGGGAAGCCCAATTCAGAATGGCCCTGATGATGTGGAAAAGCCGCATGACAAACAAATAATGTACTTATATCTATATATATATATATGAAAAATACGAATTTCCGGACCCCTGGTTGAAGCCGGGAAAGGAAGAGACCAAACCACCCCTCCAACTTTTCAATTTCGAGTCCTGCGAGTAAGGCCGCCAGACTTGGATCACATGCGCCTCTTCGGCGAGGCCGTGGGGTGGGCATTCCCCTAGAATGCTTAAAATATGGGATGTGGCATTGGTTCGAAAACCACCCCCCTTCCACGGAGAACACTCCAAATCCAAACGAGTCTACAAAGCACATGCTCTTCCATTCCCATTGAGTTTACCTCAGTTGCCCCTTGGAAAAAACCCAGGAATCACCTTTTGGGGCCATGACTAAATGCTCGTGACTCAAATTGCTTCCACTTACCAGGGCAACCCATTTTGGCGCCAGTTTTTTGAGCCGGAGCCAAATATGGTCCCCCCAAGAAAGGGAAAGCGTCGATTCGGCCAGATCCCGCCGCTCCGCTTGCAGCTCGCCTCATCCGCGAGGCCGCAGAGCTTCCGCGAGAAGACCCGGCCCATGGGCCCGGCCTCAAGGATTTTTCTGGTTGCTTTGAACTCCCCCAGGCTACATGGAAGCTCCTGGAAGGCCTCCGATGGAAAAGTCTTCCAAGGGGTCCGTTCGGGAGCTTCCATGTTAGTCTGGGGGAGGGCAGGAAGAGGTCCCAACGCGACCAAAAGACCCTATTGCCCGTTTTCCAGACATGGCAAACCCGTTGAGCACAGGCACAACAGCTGGGGATGGGTTGCTGGGTTGCTTGTTGGTTGCTTGCTTGCTTGCTTGCTGGCTGGCTGGCTTGGTGGCCTGCAAAGAAAGGGTGCTTCCTTTTGAGACCCTAAGAGGGCGCAGAACCGTGAGCCTCCCAGACTGCAGACCCGCTTTGGCGTGAAAGGGGTCTGAGTCCCCAAGCAACATCACTGAGCAAAAGAAACACCTTGAACCCCAAGAAAAAGGACTCCTCAAATCAGGCGGTTTCTCTGCTTGGTTCACAGGATCATATGTGTCTTTCGAGACCCCAAACCAGGCTCCCCAAGGGGACTCTTCCCCAAATCAGGCGGCCTTTCTTCGAACTCGTTCTCACCAAGCCGCCGGCTTCGGCGCGGCGCAGCTGTGCCACGTGCCCTCCGAGAGGCACCACGTCGCCTGCGGATTCGACCGGCCGGCCGGGGCCGGCGCTCGGGAAGACGCGGGGGCACTTCTACACTGAGATGGTCCAGATCCCGCAGGTCTCTGTTTTTGTGCTTCTTTTTTTTTCTTCTTTTTTTCGTGCCCCCTGGAAAGTTCGGAGGAGACCCGCTGCACGGCAACTGTTCCGAATAAACAAGGACTGTAGGTGTCAATGTGTGTATGTGAGTATGGCCAAACAAGGCGGCCCTCCAAATGATGAGGGTTTCTTTTGGTTTCGTTTCCACTGGAAAACATTCCAAAAGGTCTCTCTGGCTTTAACACATGCGATGCTTAACCCCAAATGGAGCCAGCTGGACGGTGCATGGACCAATTCCTGGCTTTGAACCACCAGCACGCCGCGCCACGCGCGGATTCCTAACTCCGGCAAAAAAAAACCCACAAACTTCACATCGGAAGGCTCATGCTGAAACCGAGTTCACTGCTAGACGTTCTTAGTCATAACAAGTGTTCACCACGTAACCCTATCGTTTCACTGGGCTTCAAACTGGCGTTCTTCCGACTTCGTGCAGGCACCTCCCCGTGCACCATTTGCTGGCCATCCAACTCCACAGCCTGGCGCTTTTGGCGGCCGGGCCATGGGAGCCCAAAGGCTTGGGGAGTTGGACCGCTGAGGCTAGATGGGAAACCACTCAACCAAACCGGGCTCCAAACCACCAACTAGGGAAGCGGATGAATGGACCTTGTTCTTGTTCTTGTTCTTGTTCTTGTTCTTGTTCTTGTTCTTGTTCTTGTTATTGTTGCTGTTGCTGTTGCTGTTGCTGTTGCTGTTGCTGTTGCTGTTGCTGCTGCTGCTGCTGCTGCTGCTGCTGTTGCTGCTGCTGCTGCCGCTGCTGCTGCTGCTGTCGTCGTCGTCGTCGTCGTGGTTGTTGTTGTTGTTTTGTGGGGGGACGGGGGGGAACTGAAAAGAGCCGGGCCACCCACGTCTCTTTTTTTGTTTTTCTCTTTCCCCGAATTTGCGGGAAGGCACTCCGCCGAAGACGGCGCGAGAAAAAATAATCCGCGCCTCGGCCCGGCCCCAGCGCAGGCTGCGGACGTTGGTGGTGCGCAGAGACACCGCGCCTGGCTCACCATGGCCCTGATGGCCCTCATGGCCCTCATGGCTCACAGCCTTCTACTTTGGTGTCGACGTCTTTTTTTCGTCCTCTCCACTTGGAAAATACGCTCAGGTGATATCCCCAACAGCAGGCGGTGCTCTTGTCATTGCTCGCACCACCCGCAGAACCTCGTGGAACCCTGCTGAAATGGAACCCTGGTGGAACCTTGGTGGAACCTTACCTCAGGGCCGCCCCGGACCACCCCGGAGCCTATCTGGGCCGAGACCCCAAAGCTTTCAGCTGTTCGACAGGCAGAAGAAGAAGAAATGGAATGACTGCTTGAAAAGCCATCCATCTGATGGGTCATATGGTTGCCTTTGAGGGAATCCCCTTCCTCATTCGCAAAACCCTGGGGTCATTACCTACCTATCGCACCAGCAAGAAAGGTGGTTGATTCACAACGAGACCATTGGTGCTGGTCTCACGGCCGCGTTTTTGTTTGAGAGTGGATCCTTGACCTCCCTTTCTCTCAGCGAACACGGGTCATCCCCTCCATGAGACTACAAGGCTACCGAAATTGGCCTCAGCACCTCTCCCCATGCTTATATATCGGATCCGGGTTTGCATCCAGTGTAGCTTTGGAGGGTTTCAAACACCCGAAAGCCAAAACAGCTTCACAAAAGAAGGGCCCTTCCAAAGAACGGCACTCAACAGCACTCTTGGACTCTCTCCCACGAACGCCTCCTGGAAGCATTTCCACAGACACCTGAAGCGAGGCTAGGCGCTTGCGTGAACGAAAGCGAGTTGCGTGAACGCAGCTCCAACAACACAACGGTTTCCCTTGAATCTACAATAAATATCGCCCTGCTGCACCCATGGTCGAGGGCTCCTATAACGGTGTTTGTATCCCTGCAAGGACAGGGACCGCCCACCGCCGAAAAGCCCTTCGATGTCGGTATGCTGGTTTTGTACTCTTCGCTCTTGTTTCTCGTATTACGGGCATTGATTAACACATAGGACCCTCAAAATAAACCAGCCACCCGTAGACACGTGGGCCAAGCTCCCCCCCTTGCGAGCCGGCTCTGAATCAGTGGATGCGTAATTGGGAGCCTTCCGGAAGAGGAAACTCCCGCCCAGATAACGAACATCAGCAAAGCCAAAGCAGGGGCACAGACAATCCGGGAAAACCAGCCCAAACGAAAAAAACGCTTGGCGATTTGTTCGGCAAGTCTTCCAGCTTCACCACGGCTTTCACGTCCGACCGCGGCGAAAACCTCGCGCCGAAAACCGGAGGTCCCGAACCTCGCTGAGGCGGTCCACCCGTCCCATCTGCAGGATCCTCAGGCCGTGCTTGGCGCCCGAGTAGGCTATGTTGAAGGTCCGAAGACGCCACCTGGCAGCCCGTGACAAAACCTTCGCTTCTGATTATGACATGTATATATATATATAGAATATACATGCAGGCGAAACGATGGATGGATGGATGGATGGATGGATGGATGGATGGATGGATGGATGGATGGATGGATGGATGGATGGATGGATGGATGGATGGATGGATGGATGGATGGATGGATGGATGGATGGATGGATGGATGGATGGATGGATGGATGGATGGATGGATGGATGGATGGATGGATGGATGGATGGATGGATGGATGGATGGATGGATGGATGGATGGATGGATGGATGGATGGATGGATGGACACACACACATATATGGCTATGGGTCAAAATCCAAATCGTACCCCCAGTGAACATCCGAATCCAACCACTAAAATAGGTTCTGAAGTGGGTGGTGCACCTGCCCCAAAATGGTTGGTGTTGACCATTTGTATATATAATATGCAAATATGTATGCACATGCAGGTGGATGGATGGATGGACGGACGGACGGACGGACGGATGGATGGATGGGTGGACGTGTTCAAATACTGTTGCAATTGTATGTAACGTAGTGGAATGCAAATCAATGGAATGTAGCGTAAAGTATCGTAACGTAAAGTAAGGTATATACCAAAGAGGTTTTGGCCTTGCAGCGCGAGAATCAGTGAATCCGCTCTATAGATGAATGTGGTGACAATGTATGTATATGTGTATAGAGATGTATTTGGAGTGTGTATTTTTGTGTATGTGTACCTGTGTATGTGCGTAGATGCGCCTGCACAAATGTGTGGTGTCTGTAGGCGTGCATAACTGTAGTGCATGTTTGTGTGTGTGTGTGCATGTCTGTATGGCATCTCTGCATTTCTGCAAGCCGGTACATCTCTCGGTATGTGTGTACGTGTGCATCTCTGCATTTCTAGTATGTCTCTTTGTGTGGCTGTATGTCTGTATGTCCGTATTTCCTCGTGGTACAGCAGGGCTGTGTGCGTGTGTAGGTGTGTAGCTGTGCAGGAGTGTACATGTGTATGTGTAAGCCTGATTGTTCGCATGTCTTCATGTCTGCGTGCATGCATGTCTATCATATGAGTGCATGAAAATGTGCACGATGCATTCCACTCGAACTCGAACCAACAAAGCTCGCAAAACTGTGGCTGTAACACTTTGTGTCCACCCCATTTTGACAGAATCAGAACTTAGGTATATGGGTATGGGTGCTTTCTAGGGGACCCAAAAAACAATGCGGCGTTCCTCTTGGTGTCCCTTTAACACCAACCAAAAAGGGGCGCCAATTCAAAAGAAGAAGAAGAAGAAGAAGAAAAGAGAGAGCACACCAGCACACCCATATATCCTCTCTAAGGCATCCGAGCGCACCCTCAGCAGTGATATGCCTCTACAAATGACGAAAACCCGACTCAGTCATGAGTCGAGGAACAAGCGAAGTGTAAATCTTTAGGCCCGAAAACAGGCACCAACCGAAACTCTCGAGTTGGCTCAAAAATGATGTTGAAACCCACCAGTTGAGAGAATTGGCGCCTGTGTTTTGCGGCCCTTTTCAGCTTGGGATGCCAAACGGAAACCCGAAATCCATTTTGAACGACCCGCCCCCAGCCTTGTGGGCGGCGGGGGTGAGGAGCTGAGGCGCTCCTCAAAGAAGCGCCGGATCTGCACGTCGTTCACCGCCCCGCCGTCGTTGGAAACTTCGGAGTCCCACCACCAGTGCTCCTCGAAAACGGGCTCTCGAGACTCGGTTTCTGAACGGTTGTCAATGGGTTTCGCCACCTGCTTGAACCACCCCCTGCTTAGCCAAAGGAAGGGTCACTAACATAGGGGTCCTTTTTGGGAAAATAGATGGCCCTGGTAGTTGACTGAACCACCAGGTAAACCAGGGCCCTCTATTTTTCAACCAAATCAACCAAAAAGGACAGCTATGATCACTACGTCGAGCACTTGCCAAAGCACAACTTAGCTGCAGCTGTCCAGTCCTTGCCCTCGATCTCAGTGAGAGTAACATTGGACGGGCTCGCCCCAGCTGCGAGTAAGGTGCGGTACATTCTCCTTGAGAACCAGGGATGTACCGTCCTGGTCGGCTCGCTTCAGGTCTCCTTGTTTTTTTTTGCTGCGGCAAACATGCAGAAGAGGAAAACATGCGGCGTTGTGTGGTTTGCCCCTGCCAAAACAGCAGACACAGAAGATGAGTCCGAAAAAAAAATGGAGCCCCAGTTTTCCCAAACCAACGAAACAAACAAACGAGAAAGCCACCCCACACCCCCAACCATCTCCTCCCCCAACCCGCTTGGGCGCCTGTCGCGGCTGCCCACGCGGATCAGCACCGGCAAGTCCGCCAGGCTGGGCGCCAGGGCCTGACATCGCCCAGATCGGCGGAGCCCTGAGCCCTTCATCTCCCCCTAAAAACCTGCCCTAATATTGGCTAAGAGCGCGAGGTACCTGCAAAACCTGCCCAGGTCGAAGGGAGCCCCAATCAGAAAGATTGTAGTTGCTGGCAGGGACGTTATTCTTTGCTGGTATTAGGGGGGGGAGGGCTTTGATGGGACCCAGAAAAAAAGAAGGCGATCACCTTTTGGCACCAAAAGACAAAAATTGGTTGCCAACAAGGGGAAGCTAAGAAAGTAAAAAGGTCGATTTGCTTTGGCCCCACATACTGCCTGCCCGACCCCCTATTAAGATCTAAGCACTCTCATTCAGGGAAACCCTGAACTTCTGCCCCAGCCATAAGCTGCTATGGGCTGTGCACGATCTAACAAAAAAAAGCGGGGCTTGCCTAACCAAGTATTTGTTGTTCGCTTGTTACTCACCCATGGGACTCATGAGTCGCCAACCATCTGGGAGATACCACCTAGCTTAGATACATTGAAAGGAGTCGAGCAACCGCTGTCTCTTCCCTTGCTATGTCAACCAACAAGTTTTGAACCGCTTATGATTTCAAGAGGTAAACAAAGGGACACCGGAAAGCAGTTGTTGGATCGCCCTCTTTGCGGATATCAAAACTTGGCTGCCTGTGTGCGTGAAAACCCTTCTCCGAAAAGGTCCCAGTTTTTTGAAACGTACCTTAGGCAAAGGGCCAAACTTACAAGGAGAAGAAAAAAAACATAGCCCGACAAAGAAGGACAACTACGGCAGGACACGAGCCCAACTCCCCCCACATTCGAGAGGCTACCCATCGGTCAGGAGCAACGATTCTACACCTAAAGCAAAAATCCTTGATGCCGGCAGGAACTGGAATCTTCCCTTGGGAATCCACCGCACTGTTTGGGAACCTTCGCAAAAAGCAAAATGATTATATTTAACAAAAACAAAGACGAAGAAGAAGAAAAAACGAAACGGCCTCCGATTTGGTGCGCAGGTCAGGGAACTAAAAGCCATCACCCAGGTGAACTGCATTCCAATCCAAGATACCTGCACCTGGTAGGACCAAGGATACTCCCCGGTTTCCGCAAAACAAATAACCTGCGAACCAAGCAAACGGCCTTGGCTCGCACCCGCCCTCTGCATCCAGGGTGCGAGCTCTTTCAAAATTGTATCACCATTCTTCAGAATATCATCCAAGAAGCCCAACTTCTTCTGTCCCCAGAACCAACCGGTCAGATAGACCCAGATGTATTCAGGGAACTCCGGGCCGACCCCTCCACAGCCCCCCACAGCCGTCCCCGCCGACCTCTGCGTCAAAGGGCGCCTCAGCCTGCTTCAGCAGCGCAGCGAGCGCGGGCTCCACGTGGGGCGACGCAACGTCGTGTAGGAGGACCTCAAAACCGCGCCGCCCTCTGGTTCTCTCCCTTGGGATTCCAACTCTGTCCTCAGATCTACAAAAAGTTGAAAACTTTTGGTGGGTGCAGTGGAAACACCCACGAAGCCCTAAAAAACTAAAGAGTCCGAGGGGATGGCTGGGAACCGTCAAGAACTGTTTGTATTGCTGACCAGTTTTACACCTACGGTAAGGGGAATCCAACCGAGGGCACCCCCCCCCCATATCAACTAAAATGATTGGATATCTGACCCTTGACAAAATTAAAGCTCCACCCGTAGCGAGGGTCTCAATTGCTTGCCCAAAAAATATATATTGCGAAAGATATTTGGGGGTACCATTGGCTATCATTCCTCCATGTTGATTGGGTACTCAAGGATGTCCAAATCATGGTAAGTACACACAAAGGAAGCCATCTCTTCAACCTATCCTGCAAACCCGTCCTTTCAACCCAGCCCGTTTTTCCACAAAAAAAAAGAAAGTTCTTTTTTACCCAACCCGTCCTTTAAAAACCCAACCCCATTCCACCAAAACAAAATGGTTTGCCCCCTCCCCCCCCCCCCCCACCTTTTTCACCAAAAATGGCGTTGCCCCCCCCCAACTCCCTTTCCACCAAAAAACAAACTGTTCTTTGGCCCCCCCACCCCCCCACCCCCCGCACCCCGCGCGTGGTTTGTTTTTCCCCCACCGCCGGCCGGCCTTGTTGGAGTCCGCGTACTGATCCTTCCGCAGCCAGGAGGCGGAACTCACCACCCCCAGGACGTCGTCCAGGGCGCAGGCCAGCAGCCTGAGCAAAGGGCGCGGAAACGCGAAAAACCCCGGGGCCTCGGTTTTTTTTTGGGGAGGGATCAGCCAGTCAGAAGACGACACCTGGAGAAAACCCGGGCTTTCAATTGTTGGTAAGAGGTTTGACCAGTCAGATGATGAAACTTCTTTTTGAAGAGATCGACCAGTCAGATGATGACACTTCAAAATTTTGTTTGAGAGAAGAACCACGCAGAAGATGAAATCTTGGGAAAACCCAGGGGCAAGCCATGTTTCTTGTTGCTGGAGGCTTTTTGGGCTAGAGTTTCTGATGGACTGAGCGGAAACTAAGGCCTGTCCCCCCATCCACCGAACCTTTTCATAGGATTCGAGACGAGAAAACTTCCCTCTCTACCTGCCAAGCAGGCAAAAACAGGGCCAAGTCCGCGGCGCACGAAAACGCACACATGCTGCCAGGAGCTTGGATTAAGCACTTGGATTGAGCACTCACCTTGCTAGGAGCAACACCATTCTCGGGGCATGGGAGGGAGCTGCACCCCCTGACCCGCCAAACAAAGGCCGACATATCCACAACGCTTTTCTGAAACAGGGTCCAATCTGAAAGCATCACCGACCTAAGGGGTGTTTCGCAATTGGCAATTTACTCTCCGGATTGGTGACTAGATTAAATCTTAAAGTATCACCTCAAAACCAACCATCCTGCCCCCGAAACGCGTCCCCGGCTCCGCCGGCTCCATCCGGGTTTTCCGGCGTTTTTTTTTTTGTTTTTTTTCTCGCCCGGGGCGCCAGGCGCCGTGGCCCCCCATGGAGTGCCCGGCCACCAGACTCCCCGCGCCCACCGGAACTCGGCTTGCGAGCTGCAGCCGCGGCAGCGCGCGGCGCGCCGCCACGGCCGTGGCCAGCCCCGGGCCTGGCGAAGTGGCGACGGGACGACCGCGTCGTGTGTTTTGGAGACTGGGCACTCCTCGTTAACCGGAACGGCCTTCCCGTTGTTGGCTTTCCTTCAAAAACACAAAAAGGAAGGCCTTCAAAGTCACGCCTAGGTGGGGTTATAGCCATGGATGCAGCTGGGTGAGGGCAACTTGGGAGAGCTCCCTAAGCATGGTGTTGGAAGGCTACCATGAGCAAAGTTGGCCGCAAGGAGCCCACCGAAACCCACTCTGTGACGTCTCCATGGACTCTTAGCGTCCGGGCTGGCGCTTCGACTTGAAGAACTCTCTATCTTTACCAAGTGCCGGACACTTCTCCGTGGAAAATGTCAGCAAACAAAGAAAAATCGCGGAACCACAGTGCGGAGCGCAGCCGTGCCAGTGGGAAACGGGCAAAGCCCACTTCGCCGGCGCCCACCCAGTTCTTCACCGGAAGAAACTGAATATTGGGGTGGCTTCGCCGTCGCTGGCCCAAGCCAACAAAACATATACAAGTGTGGACGCCTTTGTGACTATGAGAAACTTAGACATCTGGGTGTACTTTTTGGAGTTTTCCTGGGGAACCGCCCCAAAAGAGGGTTGGTGGACCTGAATCCCCGCGCTGACGCCGCACGGCGGCCAGGGACGTCGTCGCGGCGCTCGGCGCCTTCCCAGTTATGGGCGCCGTGGCGCGTGGGCGCCAGCAGCCAGGCCCCGCGCACGCCGAAGCGGTAGCCCTCCTTCTCCCCCACCTTGTAGGCGTCCGCGCCTTGGGAGGGGGTTTAGGGTTCCGGGAAACCCCATGGAAGAAATTGAGGGGATACCCTTGGGAAAAGCGCGCCAGGGGAAGCCCCGTGGAAAAAACCGCTCCCTGCCGGAAAACCCCCCGGTGGAAGAAATCGAGGGTTCGGAGTGGCTGAACTGAGGCAGCGGCTGCCTGCAGAACAAATCGAGGGGCGAAGCCAAATGCAGGGGGAACCCCATGGAAGAAATCGAGGGGCTACACCAAAAGCAGGAAGCCACGTTTGGACTTGGATTTGAACCCAGAAGTTACGTCTTGGACTCGGAGTTGAGGCAGCGGCTGTCTCTGGCAGAGATGCTGGTGCCAGAGAGCGAGATGACCACAGGACAGCCGCCTGCAAGGCGTGCCAGGTGCCTGATCCCTTCTTTTTAATGGAGACGGACCTCCCAAAGAAAGTACCCTTGGGATTTCAACAGTAAAAAAGGAGAAAGATGAAAACGAATAGAAACACACGTCATGCAGTTGGATTCAGACCTGAATCTATGCTTATCCATGGGCCTGCGGTTCCCTACGAGCGTCGCCGCAACAACTAGCTCCGACCTCGCCGAAGGTTTCCCCCCTGACCTCACCACACAGGCTGGTCAGAGGCTCAGAAGGTGGCAACGAGTCGAAAGCGAGGAGGCTCTCAGGAAGGCGAGAAGAAGAAGAAACCAAACCAAAAGCGCACGCGTAAATGAGCTAAGGTATCCGACAGAAACAAAACAAAAAATGAGAGGGCACAGAAGAAGTGTGGCAGGGGCATAGAGATTTAAAAAAAAAGAGACGCCAACCCTCTTGCAGCTCCTTGGGATCGGAAGTTCGGCGTCTGGGGCAGGGCTAAAAGCACGTTCGTAGCCGACTGGTGCTGGCACCTTCGCACGGTCTGGAGCGCTTCTGGATGGACGTGCTGCCGCTTGAGAAAGGATAGATGGATAGATAGACAGACAGATAGGCAAATTGATAGATAGATAGATAAATAAATAAATATATATATATATGTATAAATGCATAAGTAAATATATCCATACCCAATAGATAAATAAACACATAAAAACACGAATAGACTGACTGATTGGTAGATGGACAAAAAGGTAGGTAGAAAGACAAACAAATAGATTGACTGATTGATTGATTCATCGATTGGTTGATAGATAGATAGATAGATAGATACATAGATAGATCAGATAGATAGATAGATAGATAGATAGATAGATAGACAGACAGACAGATAGATAGATAGATACAGTAGATAGACAGCTACGCAGACATGGACTGAAGCAAGACAAAACGGTGACAAAGAGAAAGAAGAGAGAAAGAAAGAAGGAAAAGAGAGAAGAGATAGAAAAAAGCAAAACAAATAACAAAGAGGAAGTAGAGGGACAAAAAAGAAAAAGAAAGAGAACACACAACTCTTGTGTTTTTTTGATTTTTTTAAATGTTGTTTGGAAACTTCCCGACTTCGCCGGCTCGTGATCTGCAAAGGCGACCAAATCGGGGGGACAAAGGAGGGCACACTTGTTCTTGGATGAATAGGAACACCAAAAGGCAACCACAAAATGATTGGAAGTCCCTCTATTCTTGAGGGCACCCTTTTCAAATGGGTAGGAAACCAACTCCTTGTTGGGATCCCCTATTTAAGTCACACCCACATACCCAAGCGCCGCCCTTCTGCCTTCACAGGTGCCAACTTCCGGCATCACCGCCGCTGCGTGCTGCACAGAGCCATCCGGATCCTGTGTCGGAGTGGGTTATTGGAGGTAAGATCGTTTTCTAGATTACATTTTGAAAAAGAAAGCCAGAGAACAAAACAAAAGCTTGAACCCACTTGAACTCATGCGTTGGCCTCTGATGGGAAATCAACCACCGGGTTAAACCTCGGAGCCTCCAATTTACCCAAACAATGATCAAATCTCAGGTTGGCACACAGGTTGGCTACATCAAGTGCGAGAAGTGAAGTGAAATGAGCTGAACCCAGACAAACCCAAGAGAAAGGGAAACAGGTTGGTCTCAGAAAGCCAAGAAAAAGCGCGTGGTATATGTCCCCCTAAGTATGAGTCCGGCTTTGGGATACACACACCAAACAAAGAATGGGGCGAGAACTTTCCCGGACTTCCCTTTAAAGCCAAACCCCAAAGTTGTTGTTTTAAAAAAAATGAACATGCGCTGCTCATGCCCGCTTTGCCTCGTGCATTCGCTTTGGTCTCCATCTGTTCGCCGCCCAAAAAAGGGAGTCGCCTCTAAACAAGAACCGCAGCCTCTTGCACCTGTTCAGGGATTTCATCCGCAACTCCCAAGCTGAGTCGCAATCAAAACCTGGTACAAAAATGGTCGACCCAGAACCATGCTTCAAGAGTTAAGAAGGCGGATCTCCGCAGCTATTGGCTGGGATCGTCCCTTGCTAACCGGATCATCTACCCGAATCGGTTTTGAGCAAGTCAGTTGAAACGCGGCATCCTTTGCGTTGGGGCCTGGATCCTGAGCTTAGGCCCCAAGCGGTGAGCTCCGAATCGGCCATGGCATGCTACCACGTCAAGGAGCATGTCCAAGACACATGATGCCCTGCACCCCGCCGTAGAAAAGAACACACACCCATGAATCCAACCAAAAACCCTTCCCCCCTTCCCCCCCCCCAACAAAGAAGTAAAAAAGAGACGTCGCCATAGGTGTCCTTTTAGGGCAAATAGATGGCCCTGGTAGATGGTTAAACCGCCAGGTAACCCAGGAATCGCCATCTATTTGTCCACCAAAACAACCAAAAAGGATACCTATGGACGTCGCCTCAAAGGTGAAGACGAAGCTCTGCCGCGCCGTGCGGCACTTCACCCGCAGCGTCAGCGGAGAACTGGTCACCACCTCGCCGCCTCGTGGGGATACGGAAAGCGCCCCGCGTCATTTCCCCCGAAGTCGACCGCTTAGCTGCCACAATCCGAGCCTCAGTTGATACCATCCCCCAAGTCGCTGTTAAAAAAAGAAGAACAAAACACGCTTAAGTGGGTCCAACTGGTGAGTGAAAGCTGGAAATCTGAGCTAAGGGACTTAGCTGAAAACAGCATAGCTCCTGGGGGTTCGTTCAGCTTTGCAGGGTCAAGATCGATCGGATAGGCTTACTAAGCAATAGCTATTTAAGCGGGTGATAGAACATGTTACCTGCTTCAACCGTCTGGCCCAACAGGCACCCTGAAGCAGGTACCGGAAGTATATGAAGGAGCTGATGGGAGTGATTCGATGCCAGGGAGCTGAATGAGAGAAACGCCGATGTTTTTGGGGGTCAGTCTACATTTGGAGTAGATCTTATTTTGGGATGCCTTCTTCAGGCGATTTGCACGGTGCTTGAAAGGAAACGAATGGATGCCAAAATACCAGCTTTGAAGGTTCAAGTCTCAAATGCTTTGAACCGGGACCATTTGGAGGGATGTGTTTTCGGGGAAGCTGCAACCAAAAGTAACCCAAAGGAAACCAAAAGAAACTGCCAAAAGCACATTTCTGAAGGGCTCCAACTTTCGTACAGGGCCACGCTGTTTCCAGCTCCGGTTGAAGGGCTAGAAACTGCACGCACCCCGTTTTGGATGGCGTCTAGGGACAAAGGAACCAAAAAACCGGGCCAAATAAAGAATGGGCCCTCTGGCTGATGGCTCAAAGGATAACCACCAGAACCCAAAGTGTTTCTGTGGAGAAGCCTTCGTACTGCAGCTCATGTTACTCGACTTGCCGGTTCAAGGGACCAGGGCAGACTCTTCCATACAGAAACAAAGGACCAGGGCAGACCCTGCCCCGCGCGCCCGAATCGCTGGACTCGGCCCGCATCGGAGAGGCACCTTTGCCGAGTACCCAACAGAACGGCAACCCACTTTAGACGAAGCGTAAGCTATGGCTGCACTCCGTTGTCACCCTTTCAATGGGAAAAAAAGAGGAAAACTTCGGCACCCAGGGGTGGAATTTTTGAGTTGATGTGGGGAACTTCCCACAAGACGAAACAAGTGGCCATGGGTCAAAATCCCGATTACCCCCAGTGAACATGCCAATCAAACCACTAAAACAAAATGGGTGGTGAATTCACCCAAAACGGCTTTGACCACCATAGCCATTTTGCAAAACCTGGGTTTTCCATGGCAAAACCCTGTGTAATTTTTGAGTGGATGTAGGGAACTGCCCCCAAAACGCAAAATCACCCACCCCAAAATTGTACCATTGTGGTGAATTCACTACCCCAAAATGGGATCCCATTGATTTTCCACAACCACCGCCAAGCCCCAGCGGAAAGAAAAGAAAAACTGGAAAAAAAGAGAAAAAGAGAGAAAAACTTGGCTCTATGTAACTTGCTTTCGGGAAAAAGAGAACAAGAAAGAAGAAGAAAACGTCGCGGGCTTCCCCCGCCTAGACGCCCCTCAAAGGCCACCTTCAGCGGCTTGCCGCACTCCGCGTGCTCCAGGCGCAGCGGCAGCCGCAGCCGCTGGCCGGGGCCCAAGGAGGGCAGAGGCGGCTGGGCCGGGTGCAGAGACCTCCGTTTTTTTTTTAATGGGGTACCGGGATGTGGCTCAAATAATAAAAAGACACCTTCAAATGGATGTGGCTCAAATTAGAAAGCTAGGGTTACGCAGGGCTTGGTCCATGTTTCCCCTTGCCAGGGTTCCATTTTGGTACCAGTTTTTCCAGCCACAGCCAAATGGGGTACCGGGCCCCATTTGAAGAAAAAAAGAGCCTCTTCGCCCAAATTTTGGGGGTGGGGGTCTGTCTTTCTTCGCCCAAGTTTTTGGGGGTGGGGGTCGTTCTTTCTCAGATCGAGCCTAGGGGAGTTTCGGAGGTCTGAAGTTGCAAACTCCTCCGAAAAGTGGGTGTCGCTTTCCTTCTTGCTTTCGTGGAGCTAAGGGGGGGAGATCCCTGTGGCAGCAAAACCCGGGGGAAAAGGTTTTGACAGGTGAGGATGGCGTCATTGGTTTTCCTTAGCCGCCCTTTCAAGCTCACGGAAGAAGGGGATCTAGTTCCCATTTTGTTGCCACCCCCCTTTTCTCCAGCGGCCAAAAAGAAGCGATTCACATTTGGGTCAGGGTTCTCAGATCGACCCTTGCAAGGGATCGCCGATAAACCATCGACTACCTGCTAAAGTGGCCAACATGTTTTTTGGAGCCGCTCTGAGCATGGGTTTCTCTTCAAAGGGGGCCCAACAAAGCGTGCCCTCAAAAAGGACACTCCACAGGCTTCGACTTTCCGAAATGAAGCCAACCGCCGGCGTGTCCTAACCTTCAAAGTTGACCTCTCTCCGAAGCCACACCCCGGTTTTCAGGTGATTCCGGGTCCAATCTGATCCATGCGAGTCTCGTGGTTGTCTTTAGGCCGGCACCCACCAGTCAGCAGCGGCCGGAGCCCGGTCAGCCAGCGCTCGGCATCCTGGCGAAGGTGTGGGGTTTGTTTGGTGGTGCGATGGGTAGGGAATGTGGGCCCCAATTTTGGTCCCCTTAAAGAAAACCACCAGTTGGATGGCTTATACCAGAGATGGCTTACAAGGGTCCTTCCTTTATTCCCTGCTGAGCACCAACAAGCTTGTTTGGTGGGTAACTTTTTACACACGCACACACACACACCCACGCACACACACACACACACACACACACACACACACACACACACACACACACACACACACACACACACACACACACACACACACACACACACACACACACACACACACACACACACACACACACACACACACACACACACACACACAAACACGGAAGACTAGGATTGTGTCGGCACAGAAGCCCCTACATCTGCACCCAAAGACCCCCAGCAAAGCGCGGAGAAAACGAAGACGTTGCTGGCTTGCTGGGATTTGGAAGGTGCGACTTTTTTCAGGACCAATCACCCTGGCCAACACCACTGTTGGGCTCTGGTCAAACAACAAGTTTGTTTAGCAGCCCGGTCTGCAAAACCAACAGAAAGTGAACTTGGGTTTGAGAAACCCGACGAAAAGGCTTCCCTGATGGGTCCCCCAGTTGAAACTCGTAACATGGGTGTTTCTCACAGCCCTGAACGTGCGTTTTTGTTCCTTTTTCCAGTGCCATTTGAGAACCTTTGCTGGTTGCTGGACTTTCCCCCTTTAACCACCCTTTAACCCAAAAGTGCCAACTCAAACCTGGGTTGCCGGATGTTCCACCCTTTTTCTGCCCACCTCTTAACAGAGGGGTACCAACTCAACCCCCCCCTGCCCCCCGTTTGTTCCCCCCCCCCCCCGGGTTTTTGCCGCGAGGTCGCCTCGCCTGGTTGGCCAGGCCCACCGCCAGCAGCTCCCCCGCCAGGCCGAAGCCCTCAACAAAGTCGGGCACCGCCAGGAAGGAGTCCTCAGCAACCCCTCAGCTGGGAAAACACGACCCACCTGAGAAAAGCAAGGGGAATGGAAAACACAGAAGATACCCCAAAAAAACACGCAAGCACGGATGAAAGGGGGAAAAGCCGTAGGTTGGCTTGTCGATGTTGGGAATACCCCCCAAAAAAGAAAGAAATCCAGAGAAAAACGAGCCACCCAAATGACCAAGGGAACCAGCCTTTCAAAAACTGCGGTTTTGGGCGAACACGAAGTAGCCCAGGGAATCATGCCTTAGTTTCCAACCCAAGCTGTTCCCCCTTCGTTCGCCATTACTAAGGGAATCCTATTTAGTTCCTTTTCCTCCGCTTACTTATATGCTTAAATTCAGCGGGTTTGCTTGTCTGACTTCATGCTAAGATTGGTATTTGAGCACCAATTGCTTGGCAGGCTGGCACGTCTGTACTGGTCCCATCCTCGCCCATGCGGCGCTGCTGGGGGTGATGATTTCCTTTGCCCCGCACCGCTGATCCGGCGCTGATCGTGCTCTTCCCGTACCGCTGCCGTGCGCGCTGGAGATGGTTCCCCTGGTGATCCTGTGTGAGGCTGAGACCGCACTAGAAGTGCTGGGCCGGCCGTAGACGGATAGTTTTTCACCGGTCTCTTGGAAATTTATTATTTTAATTTCCCTTCAAATCAACACCATCTCCGACCGCGTCGTGGCATCCTATGAGGTGTGGCGATTCAGATAGGATCCCCCCTCCGGGTGTCACTGTTCCATGACAATGCATGAACAGCACAAGAGGGACCTTCGTCTGGCTCCTCCAATATGCCCTTGTTCACTCACGTGGCCCATTCGTCAAATAATCCTGTCGCCCCGGCAATTCGGGGTGGTGGCGGGATTTTAACTGGGGCCCAGGTGATGCCGTCTGGCTCACCTCTGAGTTGACGTTGGCATTTTGGTAGGTTCCTTTCGTCGTGAACTCAACTGTCTCGCATCCTTTCTCTCGTCCAGACATCGGATGAGGGGGGTGTGTTTTGTTCACGTATTGTTTCTTCATATGGCAAAAGCGGCCGAATGGCCGTTTGGCTCAAGTTTTGGGAACTCCCGTCAAGTTCCCCTCGGGTTCACGCCATACCCTGGCATTGCTCTTTGTCAGCGCAAAAGGCTTTGCGGTGCCGCGGCGCTCTGGGGGTAGGAGGTGTTCGGTGGGCCGTCGAGGTTTCCTTGGGCCTGTCCCTCAAAGCTACTCTTTTGCAACCATGTTCTAACATTCCCAAACCTGATCTTCTTCAACTGTCACTCCCACAATCTGGTCACCGGCACCTTCTACATTGTGCTTTGGGACTGGGTTCTTTTGGTATTTCGTGAACCTTTCTCGGCGACATGTGCGTCATTCTCGCCTTTCTAAGGCGGATGATGACTGCGGCGCCCGCCTACCATCCTGAGCCGGGTGCTTCCCGGTCCCTGGGCGCATCCTCTCTCCGTCGCCCACCACGATCACCTCGGTCGCCTCCCCCATCCCGGCAAGGCGGGGGGGGGTCCGATTGGTGGCGTCGGTCATCTCTGCGCCGGTCACGGTGGCGATCGCGACGGTCATCGGCGGGATCATCCCGTCCGCGGCGCTCATCATGCCCCGGGCCGCGCCTATCGGACGTGAGTTACAATCATGATCAAAGCAGTCTTCGCAGACTGACTTGCCGCAGCTTCGGCATGGATAGCGAGGTTCCCGATGCTGTGGATGCCCAGGCTCCTCATGAGCGCATCTGGCCCGGTTATCAGGGGCAGCACCGGCAGCCCGAGCAACGGCCCTCGTTCTAGAGGGATCCCTGCCAAAAATGGGGGCTGATGGTGACGGTGTTTCTGTGAGTTCTCGTTGAGGGCTCCGGACATCCTATCACTGAACTGCTTCAGGTCGGTCGCAGGAACAAGGTGCTGGATGTACGTCTCGACGTTCCCACGGATGGTTCTTTCCCTTGAGATGGTTCCCTCAATGTCAATGACACTGCGAGAGTTCGCCTCAACTTCGTCCTTGATTCTTCGAACTTCAGCCTCAAGGGCCCCGATCTCGGAGAACCTAAGGAGCTGGACCTTGATGTTCTCAAGTGACTCGGCCTGCTCGCGAAGTTCAGCAGCAGATATGATGATCGAGTTGGACCTCTCATCATACATCTTGAAGCGCTCATTCATCTCCTTCTCGCTTCGGGCGACCCACTCGTGGAATTCACGGAACTTGGCCTCGTGTCTTGAGAGCGTTCCGGCGACGGCAGAGAAAGATGATTCAACCTTCTTCTCGAAGGTGTCAACACGGTTATTGATCTTCTTGATTTCACCGACGCAAACGTTGATATCATCCCTGCATGAACGAATCTCAGTTCTGCACCCCTGGATTTCGGCCTTGCATCCCTTGACCTCGTTGTGAATCGCGAGAAGCAGTCGCTGAAGCTCAGAGGCAACCGGATGGCCGTCACTTGTGGATGCAGACGGGGCAGGACGACTATCAGCGTCATAAGCTCCGCGCCTATTCTCATTCCTGTCAGGAGTGCAGCCCGGAGTTCCGATTTGAAAGAATGTAGGGATGAGGGAGTTGTCGACCGGCTCATTTGATGGAAGCCCTCCATTTCCAGGGGCAACGGTGCTAAGTCCAGGTCTCCGGTTCCTGGGCGTAGAGTTGATCCCGTCATCAGTCTCCTTCTCAGACATCGGAGCATTGGAGCTGAGCCCAGATCCCGCGGAGTGGATAGGAACGTCAACAGGGTCGTGATGAGTGGGGGGATTAGATCGCAATCGGAGGGCAGCTTCACGTCTTTCGGGTGACTCAGAGCTCCTCTTTGTGGCTCGCGAGTCAGCGCCGGTTTGTCCCGACATATTATCGAACGATGACGATCCGCGATGTTGAGCTTGATCTGGATCAGGTTGAGTGAGATCAAGCCGTTGAGCAACGTCATCATTGAATGGCTTAGGGGAAAGTACTTTGGCAACGCGGCTCGGCGGGAGCGATGTCGTTCGTCTCTCTGGTGTGACCTCGGCCTCATCGATTACATCGAGGATCCCAGGGATGGTTTCATCATCTTCATTTCCTCTCGATGTCGAGAAGGTCGAAGGGAGTAGACCCAATACCAGGTGTATCCTGCTCGGATCCATCGCTGGTACGGTGGCTGGACTGCTTCTCGAGGTCGATGACGTCGGGGGCGGACTCTTTCCGAGTCCGACGCCGATTGAAGGCCGCGAAGACACCGGCATGGCTTCTCGACGAAGTGGAGGAAGGATTTGGGCCTGCTGTTTCGCGGCCCGCGTCCGATCGATGAGCACCTGATGCTTGATTTGGCGGATTTGAGCCCGCGTTGTAGCGGTTCGCGTCCCGATCTTGAGTACCTGAGGAGAGCGGTGGATTTGGACCAGCGTTGTAGCGGTCCGCATCCCGGTCGCGGGTACCTGACAAGTGAGATGTACTGCATCAGGGATGAAGTCCATATCCGCCGGACTGAGGTGATCGTGAACGATGTCAACATCAGATGAACCTGAGACAGGAGGAAGGCCAGCTATTTGCGGCCAATCCTCAATCGCCCGTTCGCCCGCCTCGGGTTGGGCCGAACCTGCCACTTGAGAAGGGGAGAAATCTTCAATGGGGTCATTTTCTCCATCATGAGGAAAACCCTGAGTAGGCTCATGCGTAGGCAGGGCGTCGAAAGATCTGTCAATTCGGGAAGGTTGAGATCTCCAATCAGCATCAAAAAGGGATTGAATATCCAGATTCCCAACCGAGATGGGGACACCCGAATCGAAGTCGAGTCGAGCGAAATCAGGCGGTGTGGCCTGCGATCCACTCCCGAGGAGCTGGTCAAACTGATCCCATGTAAGGGACCAAGATTGAGCCGGCTCCGGATGAGCAGCAGCATAGGCAGCCTGGTCTTCGATCTGGAGCGCCACGAACGGAACAGTAGGCGAAATCGACGAGGGCACCTGATTTGGAGGAACCACAGCCTCTTCTAGAGGGGGTCCGTCCTCGATCTGGAGCACTGCCGCCGGGATAGGGGCCTCCGCATCCTCATCAAACACGACCTGAGAAAGGATCCAATCGTCCGTGATCACCCCGGGATTGGGCTCTGCGCCCACCATCGGGGGAATGGGCCACAGCCGGCTGTCTAAGCCGGGGGCAGCATGCGCGGCGTTGCCGCGAAGAGCGTTGGCCTCGTCGTCCACGAAGCCTGGCCCACGATGTGAAGCTCCAGGAGACGCCATTGTACGTACAAGTAGGCAAGGGAGCAGGTAGCGGGTCACGTCCCGCAACCGGATCAGCAGCCCCAGCTTCTAGCTGGTACGGCTGATAACCTGTGGTTTTGGGCGAACACGAAGTAGCCCAGGGAATCAAAGAGGTACACGTGGTTCACGAAATACCAAAAGAACCCAGTCCCAAAGCACAATGTAGAAGGTGCCGGTGACCAGATTGTGGGAGTGACAGTTGAAGAAGATCAGGCTTGGGAATGTTAGAACATGGTTGCAAAAGAGTAGCTTTGAGGGACAGGCCCAAGGACACCTCGACGGCCCACCGAACACCTCCTACCCCCAGAGCGCCGCGGCACCGCAAAGCCTTTTGCGCTGACGAAGAGCAATGCCAGGGTATGGCGTTCGCGCGTGAACCCGAGGGGAACTTGACGGGAGTTCCCAAAACTTGAGCCAAACGGCCATTCGGCCGCTTTTGCCATATGAAGGAACAATACGTGAACAAAACACAAAAACCAAAAAGAACATGACAGAGGGCTACCCTGAAGTTGGGTTCCACCAGCATAAGGTCTGTAGTAAACGGACGGGGCGATTCGGTCATACCAAACCCATGTGAGTGTGCATGTCCAAACTTTGCTGGGGCGTCTCTCGTGTGGACAATAACGCTCCATGCTGTAGCTTTGAAGGGTGTTGGCTTCTTTGTGCCGGCTTTTTGTGTCAATCGTGCGGTGTGTGAAGGCTTGGATTTCCTCACTCTATCGGTGTTGGTGTCCGAATAAAATTCAGAGTCTGCCACAAAATGGAGAACCCCCCTGAAAATTCGGCGGAAACCTAACAAGAAAGGTACCATTCGAGTTTCCCGCTTCATCCGCGAGCAAAACCACATTGTAAAGTCCCTCTTTGGGTGTCATGTTTAATGAATCTGACTGGGGGTGCTGGAAGATAATCTTCCTCCAACAGGGACCCTCTGGGGTTTCTTAAACTCAGAGCGCCACTCTGTTCCATGTTCGCGAACCACTTGTGTTTGCCTGATTTGATTTCCCCTCTGCTTTTTTTTTTGCTGGGTGTCCCTTTGCCTTTGGTCGGTCAAAAGAGCGTATCTTCTTTGATGCCGTTGTGGTGTCTTTTTGCTTTGTCTCCTTTGGTGTCCAGTTCTCTATTTGGGAGTAACCTTGTGTCGAGTTCTCATCTCATAACCCTCTGTGTGAAGCAGCTTCTGCGCAGCCCAAACGCGCCTTGGTGCTGGCGCTTTTTGGGCGTCCGTTCTGTGCCTGTGTCGTCTTGGTTTGGTGCATCCTCATCGCAAAACGCGTGTCCTTTCAGATGTCCTTGCTCCCAAATTGCGCTTCCAGTTGGAAAAGGACAAGTGAGCCCATCAAGACCCGGCATATAATGCGGCGCCTTGGGCCTCCTCTAACCAGGGCTTGGATGGATCGAGCGCTGACTGTCCGAGCTGCCCCGAAGAGTCTCAGCGGCTCCGTCCCGCGCTCCACCTCACAAGCAAACCTCGGACGTCGGACCGGGGTGAGGGGACGCGATGCAAAGGGCGGGGGACTCTTTCGGAGCAAAGAGCAAAACACAAGAGCACCAACCATTTTCAGACGTCATCCTTGAAAACAACCGCAGAGAGGTTAGAATAAGGGTACCAACTCTTTTCTGTAGTCTATTTTCGTAGGGGAACCCTCCCAACCAAAAAAAAGCAGCGGTCAAAGGGCACGATCCCCGGACAGGTCCTCAGCGCCGTCTGCGCGCGTCCTGAGCTCCTTGCTGGGCCTGCAGCTTGCCACGCAGCCGCAGCGAGATCCGATGGCCGCCTTCCGGCAGCTCCACCTGGCCAGTGAACATCAACCAATCCAACCACTAAAAACGGTACCCAAACATTTGGGTGGTGAATTCACCTACCAAAATGGCATCCCAGAACGGTTTTGACAACCACATCCACCTAGGTTCGTCTTGGCGCGGAATGATCCACGCGGATGGCGAGGACTCACCACTCGCTTTGTTGACGCCGGTGGTTTGGACCAGAAAACCGGGGGGGAACAAAAAAAAGACACACGCAAAAACCACACCCCCGTGTTTTGACGGCAGAAAACACGGGAAAATGGGCACCCGAAAACCAGGAACAAGAAAGACATGCATTCAAGCCTTCGTGGTCCAGGGAAGAATGCACCCACCAATCAAATGGTTGGCAAATATCCCCCTGTACAAGCCGGTTGAACCTGCGACAATCAGAACCAAACCCTTTGGGTTTTGCCGCAACTGCCCCGCCCTTGAAGCGAGCCGCCGGGTGTGGGGGCAGCCCGGCGCGGTACAAGTCGCCGACAAAGCTGCGGTTGCCAATGCTGAAGGACGTCACACCCCAGCCTTGAACTAAGGACGAGCGCCCAGGAAAGCTCTTGTAGGTAGCAATTTCCTCTTTAGATTCTTAATGGTGTGTGATCTACTATGGCGTGTGAACGAAAGCTAGACATGCGCGACTCACTTGCCAAGTATTGAGAATAGCAACCTTCAAATGAACACCCAGAAAGTCATCAAGACCCGAACTTGGGCCAGGTCCTAATCAAACAGATCCCCTAGCCGCAAACAATCGCAAACACCTCAGCGAGACTATGAGAATGTGCTAGTGTGGGAGGAGCCCCAAAAAGCAGGGCAACGGGCGTTCCTCCAAATTTGCGCATTGGGTTTGCTCCTTGGGTGAATAGTGAACCCCAAAATGTACCCTTCGAGGGAATGAACCGAACGAACCCATCACATGGTTGGTACATATCCCCTTTTCGGGTGGCCTGAGGGACCCTTCCCCGCCCCCCCCCCCCCCCCAATTTGGGCGCACCTGTTTCAATCTGCAGGGCAACCATAGGGGCAATCCTGAAACCCTTGCACATCGGATGAAAAAAGAATGCCATCATTTCACAGCAGTCAAAAATTCAAGGACACACTTCCTTCCACAAATCAAGCAGTAGTCTACTGCCATTCCACAAGTCCATTCGTCCACTCCCATGAAATTTTGTGGATCCCCTCCCAGTTTCCCATTTCCACCGACCTCGTCCCACCTCCTCCGAGCGCGCCCCAGTCCGATCCACGCCGAGCGTCAGCCCACCGTCAGCTCCCCGGACGCCTTGAAGGCGCCCAGCGCCCGCGCCTGCCACTCCAGGACCTCGTGGCCGCCCAAGGTGCCCACCAGGGACTGCCAGTCCACCTGCGCGAAAGGGATTGTCTGCTTTTCTGTTTCTGGGTGTGTGCTCTTGTGTGTTTTTGCTTCTGTCTTTTTGTTTCTGTGTTTGTTTGTTTTCTTGTGTTTTGTTTTGTGATTTCCTTGTTTTTGCGTAACAAGGGAAAAACCAAAGGAACACCGAGGACATTTTGGGGGGTCCCGAAAAGAAGCAGACAAGCCCAAATTGCCGCAGACCAACGTGTTGCTACGCCGGGTCTTTCTCGGGGTCTGGCGACCCCCCCCCCTTTTTCGGCAAGGCTCTAATCTTCCAAGGCCCCTAACACCAAACGCCAAAAATTGACGCAAGAAAACTCGATAAGCAAGCAATGAAATAAGGTAACAACAAACACACACGCGCAACCAAAAACAACCTGCACCAACATCTGTGCGTTGTGTTTTTCCTTTTTTTTTTAAACAGCACCTTTAAAAAGAACGGAATTATTGCTTATCTCTGGGCATGTGCTCTTTCACAAAACCCTTTTGTTTGTTGCAGTTCAATGGTCAACCAAAAAGAAATCACTCAGGGAGCCTCCATTCGGAGACATGCCCCATAGACTGTTCTCCGTCCAATTTTGGAGAGATCTCCGTCGAT